CCTTTTGGTTTGCTAACGAGTAGAATATCGGGTCGAGAACGGTTCAAATGAATTGAATTTCGACCCATACCGCGGAGCAGGTGGAGTCCTAATGGTACGGGGAGGCGGGGTTGTCGCCATTGCAATTGTCTCCCTCCAGCGTCCTCGTTTGACGGTATTTCTGCTGAATAGCAAATGTTGCGGGTTGTCAATATGAAAATTGTTCAACGAGGGGTGACGAAACTCGAAATAAAATGGCAAGGAGGGAGTATCCACGATCGTAAACGGTGACAGTCGATCTCGAGAACCGTAATGCGCGTCAGTTTTATGTGTTTGTTGGCAGGCAGTGACGCAGGGAGAGTTGTCGGCTGCTCAATGCAGGTAATGAGGAGGTTGGTTGTTGGTTTGTCCTGTTGTCTGGGCTAGTTTCGGTAAGCGCGAAAATTGGGTGGCTGAATGGTTAAGCGCGGTAAACGCCAAAACTACTCTTGACGCGAACATCGTCTGTTTAGCCTACACTAATCACTCCTCTTACTCTCGCCGCCATGTCGATATCCAGTGCTCGTGCGGAAATGGAGAAGCTGCAATTTCTCGATCAAGATAATGAAGCACTGCCGGAATCCCCTTCCAAAAATCATGATTTTCCATCTGTCCCTCAGAATTCCTCTGCTGCGACAGAGGCAAACTATGGACGAAATAACGAATCCCAACATGATCGTGAAGAGGCACGGGAATTTTCTTTGCGGAGTGAACTGGAAAGTATCCGGAACATCAACCGGGTGGTGGAAGGTATCATTCATAGCTTGGATCGAGCAAAGGACAACATGGAAGTAAGCTTTTACCCAATTGGCCCTGTATTATTCATTGTTAAGACGTTTATTTTTTGCTTTACAGAACGTTTCCCGTACCGTCGCATCCGCGTCTACACTTTTAAACACCTGGACACGAATCCTAGCCCAGACGGAACAAAATCAACGACTCATCCTAAATCCTTCCTGGCAAGGCGCATCCAAAGATATTGCAGATATTGAAGGCGAGTCGATATTACGACAGCAGGAGGCGGAAAGAATTGAGCTAGAACTCCAGCAGCGGAGAGAGGCCATGGCTCGAAAAGCGGAGGAGGAGGAGCGGAAGAAGGAAGCTACATCCGCTGCTAGGGGATCGCGCGGACTGACGCGAGGGAGATCACGAATATCGGGCCGGACTTCTTCTACGACCAACTCATTCGGCACGACAAGAGGAACAGTTACGGCAAGAGGTACAATGGCAACAAGAGGCACGACAACACGTGGAACGACAAGCCTGCGAAGACCGGCGGCATCTGCACCGGGCACGAGGGGAAGGGGAAAGGTCCCAGGGTCATCATAATAACATCCCTAAATGATTTTGTTCTATTTTGCTTTATGAGTTAGAATTTAATGATACCCCAAGAACGCAATGCGTAAAAATAAATGAGGAGCTTCTGTTATTTTTCATATCTACACATGCCATAACCTATTACCCCCACTTCAAAGCTTCACAGCGGCGCGCCAAGACTGTTCCCATGGGACCTTACGCGCTTGTTGTAACCTTAGCTAAGGATGAAGTAGCCAGCTTGAACTAAAGCGATAGGAGACAATATATTAAAACCACAACACGCATATATATCTAAACAAAAATAAAACGTTTAAAGTCACATGGGTATCTCATAACCCGCTTCGCCATGAATTTTGCTCCCTACCAAGATGAGTCCCCAGAGATCGAGCGGGCCCTATCACCTCCTCTCCGTGATGCAACCCGATCCAAATCCCCTCCTACACAGAACCAGAACCAGAACCAGAACCAGCGTACATCTCCCCCATTCCCTCCGGTAGGGAGACTTCCCTCACCGAGCTACTTTGCCAACCCCGAGACTGCGGGAGGAGATACAGGTTTCGGTCGAGATGTGGAAGGAGGGCGATTGAGCCTTGGTGCTTTCGAGACGAGCCTCCCAATCCGCATGGACTTCGAAGCTATGCTTGCATACCTCCTGCTACCTCCAGCTGGGGGTGTGTTCTTGTTGTTGGTGGAACATAAGAGTGATTATGTGCGGTATGTTATAGAACCTCGAAACGACTGTCTTCTCTCTAGCTATCGCGATCACAGACACTGATCACTAAAGGAGATATTCCAATTTTTAGATTTCACGCCTGGCAATCTAGCATGCTATTTACCGCGATATTTGTAGGCATCCATGAATGATATATAACCCGTTTATAAACTTCCTGCAGCTCATGTTTAATATTTCTGCTCCTCACAGATAATTCACATGATATTCGCCTGGTCGAGCGTCATTTCATGGCTACTTTTCGTCTGCGACATTGGCCTAATCGGCTTCTTAAGCATGCGAGCTTATGGAGATGGTAAGCTACCATGATGGGATTCACAGCTCTCCTACTAAATTTCTAGTGATAAAATGGCTCATCATCCTCTCTCCATTATTATAGTTGATTCACTCGAACACTACGAAGTCCCCTTCTTCGGCCCCCTCGCGAACTCCTTTGTTGATGACGAATAAATAAACCTTATCTCTCAATAAACCAACCAAGAGACAGAGAATGCGATAACAACCCGAACCTGAAAAATGTCGTATCGTTCCATCCACATCGACTATAACCTCCAAACTGCCTCACGTCAATGCCCCAACCCGAACATCCTCTCTCCTACTTGTGGAAACACCACTGTACTATTACGCTAGATACCCATCAAGCCACGTTCACCTCATTCGATTGATACGACTGACTAGATACGTATATATTTATCAAACTAATTTTCCACTTTACACTCTACATTGCGCACCTTCTCTGCCATGTCCATCTTTGACGTATGGCCCTCCGTTAGCTATCCTCCCTATTTGTGTTTTGTATTCTCATTGTTTGTATCGGTTTGGTTTTGCTATAAATCATAACTACCGCTGCCTTCGCAGCCGCTTGTATTTCTCTCATTTTGATATCATGGTATTCCTCTTTTCCCCACGTGAACAACGGAGCAAGGGTGGCGGGCATTGTATGAACCTAATGTTGTATAACCTGTTTGCTGTTTGGTTTTTTTGTTAGTTTTTTTTTTTTTTTTTTTTTTTTTTTTTTTTTTTTTTTTTTTTGTTAGTTTGAGTATTGTTCGTTTGCGCCCTCTTCATGCATAGCCTGGTTTACCGATTTTTATGCAATATACGTATCGAATTGTGATTACTTTATTCTCTTCAATGCAAGCCTTCTCAATTGATGAATCAGCCGCAATGAGTTTCATTTCCTTAATGGGAATCAGCATATATGGGACAAATTCCCCATTTGCATGCTAACGACTTAGATAAAGAAAGGTCATAATCTTCATTTGGATTTCAGTTGGCTTGTTTGCCCGAGGTAGAAAAATAAATAACACAGAAGGGAAAACGGGAGCATAGTCAGCAATGGGCGTAATAGAAAGCAAAGCCAGACTGTCAAAAAGAAAGCGAACAGTAAAAACACATTGGCTGGCTGAAATCAAATCAAGGGTAAAGTAAAATAAGAGAAAAGGACAAATATGAACAAAAAGCAATCAACGAGATCAAGGGGGACATTCTGAAGGACATTGCCAAAAACAAAATAAATGTGGTGTGCATAGTTCA